AAAAATATAACAATACATTACAAGGCTAAAATAATACAAAGTCTAAGCTAGTACAAAAACTAAGTTACCTAAATGTTGAACTACATAATACAATACAAACAATAACCTACAAACTAAGTACTATAAATGTTAAGCGAAAAATCTTGTCCATTGCTCTTTAATTTGTGTAATATCATTTTCTAATAGTGGAGATAGATCTTAAAATACTTGAAATATTAATTTGACTCTTGTTAACATACAATATGCATAAAGGTAAATCAACTTAATAAATATTAAAAATAATTACCTTCGTCTAAAAATCAGTTATACATGCACAAACTCTGACTCTCATCTAATACATGATATAAATATAGTAGTCACATTCAAAGGAGTTTGTTTGCTTATTATTACACTGAATTGAGCAAAAAAAAATTATTTTCAAAATTTAAATACAAGAGTATCGATATTATAATAATATAATATTTCTCTTTTCTTTACTACTTTTGTCTATTATATGTGGTTAGGAGCATATTTTGCAAAAATTATTAGGACAAATCCTCTTTAATTTTTTCTCTTCGTTTTCATATGTTGTATGTCAAAATCCGACATTGGAGTAAAAAATTATCTTTCTTTAAACATTTTCTATTTTATTTTCATCATTATAAACCCTAAACCCTATATACTATAATATATTCTCTTCACATCATAACATATCTTCTTCGGAGCTGATGGGGACCGTGGCTCCCCCAAAGTTTTGTAACTCCCATATAATTTATGATTTTGGCCCCCCAAAACTTAATGAACATTTAATATATTTACGTGTATATTTACAATTTTATCCTCTCAGCCTCTCCTCAGTTTTGTAACTCTCATATAATTTATAATTTTGTTCCCCTCAAACTTAATGATCATTTAATATATTTAAGTATATATCTACAATTTTATTTTTTCACCCTTTCATCTTTTCTTTTTTTTTTATTTATTATTTATTAATAATATATTATTTGGCCCTCTCAAGATCCGCCACTGATATCATATCATTTTATTTCTTACTTACTTATTACTACTATATAAATAATATACAAAAACAAAAACATGGATTCAAATAACTAAACTGTGAAAAGATAAAAATGGAATGTATAAACCATAAATCCACTCAAACTTATAAACGAATAATCACAAACTACAACAATTTAATTTCAATAACAATCTAGTGAAAACATTCATATAATAACGTTATTGAGATTCCAAAAACAATCACCGATTCAATTCCAACATAAAAATAGGAGACACATAGAATATTAACCTTAAATATACAAAAAACCTTTTAAAACTCGAATTCAATCGGAGAAAAATGTCAACCACCACAAATAAAATACAATGTAGGTGTTTTATCACTCACTATAATCGAAATGTACCTTGAGGGGAGCTGGTTTGGTTGTTGTCGTCATCGAGGGTCTTGTGGTACTTCAATATGCAAAAGTGTAAACCAGTTTCTACCCTACTTTCTATCAAGTTATCTTCAAGTATGAGTCCTAATGATGAAATGAAGAGGATGAAAATGTCTCGAGGTATGCATCAGTATGAAGTCTTATAGATACTATGATTGGTATAAGAATAGACATTGCATAAGCCGTGAAAGCGATTAGTAGATTCATGACAAATCGTTATAGAGAACATAAATTTACTAAGAGGGTCTTTATAAAGGAATCTTAAATGGTGCATTATATTTCAAAAGATTATAACTACTTATTAGATGCTATGTTTGTTCAAGTTTTATAGGTGTTTTTGATGTGTTTATATTTATAGGAGAGACAATAATTGATTATCTAAGTTATAGGATATTGTAACTTTATCTAATACACAAACTAAGTACATGACAATCACCTAACATGTGAAAAAATTATTTGGATTAAAACGGTTAATGGAGAAATTCACACACATGTAGCAAAAGATTATTGTGTATTATAATAGTCAAAGTATCTTACACATTGCAAGATGTTATGACAAAGTCGGTTAGTAGTGACAAGTTTATATAAATCAATACTACTTAAGGTCTATTGAGAAAAATAACAACATAGAAGACAATAATAATGTGCAATGAAATTTTGATTAATTTAATCAAAATCTTAAGTGGGAGAATGTGAGAAGAGAAGTCTCATATCCAGAAAACTATATGTTGATACTTACTTTTCTTGTTATAAAAAAAAACATAATATTTACCTTGTAAATCACCTTAAATCTTTTTCTTCTCGTTTCTACTAGTACATTGCACAGTAATTAAGTTTTCTTTTTTCGTAAAAAGGATATTATTATTTTCTCCTTTGATCTAAAAAGGGTATTGCAATTTCTTTTTGTAGTAAAATATTATTACTTTTGTCGATTTTGACTTCATTTTCTTGTCTTTTATTTTAATTATGAGATCTTATGTTATTATTTTGATTTCTAACAACAATTTGATCTCTTAATATTTTTTTTATAAAGGTAAGCTTCATTAGAAGAGTTTATTTTTAATAATAATCTATGATTCTTCTTTCCTAATAACATAATTAATGTCCATCCACCTCAAATCAAAATATTTCTCCCATTCTATATCTTATAATTATCACCTTTATCTCAAAAATACCACTTTTAATATTATAGATATTCTTAAATTGAGAAACTATAAAGTTCAAAATACATCTTTATCATTATAGTTTGAGATCTAGAATCAATAATTTCATGTGTTTATCATAAACATACATTAATTTATGAATTTATGTGAAGTAAAATCTTACTCAATTAGATATAATATAATTTTATGAAAAACTATCAAATTAGTTTTTTTTCTTACTTCTTACTAATAAATTAAGAAATATAATTTAATATTTTATAATAATTAATCACACAAATATAATAAAATTCATGTGGATATATTCACCACAATTACAAAAAATATTTTTTTAATGTGATTTTCAACATATATACTTCTAATTAATTAAACATATTGTAACTATTATCTAATTTTACTATTATTATATTTATCACTAACATTAATATTATATATATATATATATTATAAAATATAAAAAAACATGTATAATATAGTAAAAAAATGATGTGCAATATACTTTTTGTAAGTATGTTCAAAATATTTGTAAATCAATATAATATTTAAATTTAAAAATATAAAATATCATGTGAAAAATAGATAATTTAGTGGTTATATTATTACACCATTATCATCTAGGCATGAGGTTTAATATGTAGTGAAATCTAAGTATAAGACTAAGTCTCATGCTGAATTAAAAAAAAGTTAAACAATATATAAAAAAAAAGATTGATACACCCAATGCTTAAGGTTTTGGGAAGATGACGTCAATCCCTTGGGTTAAAGGTGTTGTCTTTCTCTGGTAAATTTCCCATCAATAATATAAAACTTGAAGGTTTATTTTAGTGAGCGACTATGTAAGAGTGATCTTTATATTAAAAGTCTTACTTCTGATGGATAAGACAAGGAGGTGTACCAATGTAAAAGGACTTACATTAGAGGAGAGATTGTTGAAAAATCTAATTGAATCTAAATCCCACATTAAGTAAAATTGAGGAAGAAGACTTATAAACTTAATGTCTTAAGGTTTTTGATTGAATAAAATGTTAATCCTTTACATACATTAGACTCATGTTTCATTGATGTTGTCTCTTTCTAATAAATCATTTATTAAAAAATATATCATAATGCTCAATAAACCTAAAATAAAAGATGAGATACAAAATAATAAATATAACATAAATATGTCAAACCAATACAAAAGACATTTAGATTTAAAATACGAAAATATATGACCTAATCTTTTATCATTATTTTTGTTCTACTTGCTTATTTTGATAATGATACTCACTTTGATTTCAATTTTAAAACCTTACTCTCAATATAGGATGGTACAAGTGAAGAATAATTTTAGTAATTAAAAATGCATATTTATAATATTCTAAAATATCATAAAATTATGAAATTTTAAAAAATTAGATCCATGTCTATATATTAGTTGATAACATAAGAGGAAAAAAAATCCAAAACATTTTACCTTATGAGATATGATTTAAATATGTTATGCTAATTAAAAGTCAAAATTCAAAATTTTAATAAAAAATAATATTAGGAATTATTAATGTTTCTCATAACAAAATTACATTTTAAAAATATAAAGGAAAATAATAAAAAAAGAAAAATATATTACAAAAAACAACCTATTAGCCATTTTCTAAATATAGACTGAATCGTGAATTATGAATCAGATGAAATTGAATCGTCCATATTTATTTTAAATGGTGCTAAAACTTTTTTTTTTATAAAACAATTATATTTTTTTTAAATGATAAAGAAAAACCAGAAAAAGAAAACAATGAGATAACAAACACCTAATTATCACTTTCGAAATATATAAATTGTCATATCCTAAATTATGACCTGAAGATTAGATCCACTCCAACCGTGGACGTTTATCCATTCACGGTTCCCACACATACCTGCGGTTGAAAGAAGATATCATACTGTGACACATGCTTCAAAAATTGAATAGAAGTATGATAGAAAATTCCAATCCTATATATTCAGAAATATAATTTTCTTTGTATGGGTGATGCCCGGGATAATTCCGTAATTCCACGTTTATACACACCTCACTGATTACGTGTAGTTCTCAACTCTCTTTTCCGATTCATCACACCGCACCAAATTCACCTATGTCTAACGAACCCTAATCTCATCAATTAGGGTTTCTCTTTCCCACGAGCTTCACTTCACTTCACTCTCGCTTCATGATCACGCTATACATTCCCCTTGCTCTCTGTCTCATTCTTTCTGAACTTCCCTCGCGCATGCTCTAATCATTTACCCAATCACAGCCCTCGATCCATTCCTCTTCCAGTTGCACCCAAAGTGAATCAAAAGCTCTTTAGAATTTCATCTCCTCCTCTTCCTTTCAATCTCGTTTTACTCGATCAGATACACTCGATCACACACTCTAGTTCACTCGATCATGGACGTGGACGGGGGCAACAAGCGTGTGTACAATCGTCTCGGTGGGGACGCGAAGCACCAGAAAGTGTGCTTCCACTGGCAAGCGGGCAAGTGCAATCGTTACCCGTGCCCCTTCTTGCACAGTGAATTGCCCGCATCTTCTCATGCCAACGGGGCCTCCTCGAAGCGCGCGTACGACAATTCGGGCCAATCGGGCTTCTCGGGCCAGCGTGGCCGCCACAATTTCACAAACACGTGGGGACGCGGTGGGGGGCGCGGTGGCGGTAGAGGGGTGGTGGTCAAGGCGGAAAAAGTTTGCAATTATTGGATTCAGGGGAATTGTAGTTATGGAGAGAGGTGTAAGTTCCTTCACTCTTGGAGTGTGGGAGATGGGTTTTCTTTGCTGACGCAGCTTGAAGGGCATCAGAAGGTACACAAAAGATTCTATGACATAGTTATTTTACTGTATAATAATAATAATAATAATAATAATAATAATAATAATAATAATAATAATAATAATAATAATAATAATAATAATATGGGATTTGACACCGCTAAAGAAAGTAATCTCAATCAATTGTTAATGATAAAATCAATGGTTGATGTTAATTTGTATGAGTGTGCACGTAATATTTTAATTACTTTGCTGATATAGATTTCTTATGCACGTGAATGTAAATATTGACCGTTGATTTAGCTGTACTTTATAAAGTGAGTTGCTCACTTTGGAGTAACTGCATCAAAGACTATATATTATGAAGTATAGGCTCTGCTTGATAATGAAAGGTTTTAAAGCATGGTTGTGATTGCAGTTTTATTTGATCCTTGATGTTATGGGAAATTGCATAGAAATGTGGTTTAGCTGTGGTGACTTTAGACCTTGTTGCTGGGGATGAAATTGCCGTTTGTTAAACCCTTCAAGCATGTGCTTGACACCATATTTATCATTGAATGTACGTTTGGTTATAATTCCAATTATGTTATAAATGGTCGTTGTGTTGCTATATATATAGGTTAAGTTTGAACTGAGAGTGTTTTATGTACGCTTTGTGAAATGTTGATATTTGATAGCATTTTTACAAGGGTGTATGTATTTTGGTTATTGGAGTTCATGGGATAGGTTTTGATTTGTTGAATGAACAGGCTGTAAGTGCAATTGCCTTTCCCTCTGGTTCGGATAAGCTGTATACCGGAAGCACTGACGAGACTGCAAGGATTTGGGACTGCCAGTCTGGAAAGGTTGTAAATGATCTGTGTTTTGCTTTGTTTTGTAATGACAATTTTTATTTCAATTTTAAAGTTACATATTCTTTTCCCACAGTTGAGAATAATAGTTTAGAAAATGGTGCTTGAGGGATGATTTGCTCTCAGCAAATCTCTATGTATTTATATAAATGAAGGGTCTGAACCAAAAGTCGAAAAAATAGAGTAAAAATCTGCACATAGAACCCTTTTTGACTGATAGTTTCAACAATATACGACTTTTACAAAGTTGTGAAGAAGGCATAATAAACTTTTTTTACTCCCCCTAAACTGTAGCATATGAGTGAACATATGAATTGAATTCAAGGAGCCTTTAAAGCCTTAGCCAGAGCATTTGCGATTTCTCGTGAACAAAACAACAATCTATTTCTATTTTTTTGGTTCTCTTATGGAACCCAGAATTGGAGGCAGTATGAAGTACTTTCTGATTATCATGTACAAATTCATCTTATGAATCTCACAACTTCAATTCATGGATCAGTTGTTTGATCCACCCAAGTTCACATGTAATCGATGTTGTTACGGTTCAAACATAAAACCAATTGACAATATGTGGAATAACCTAATATGTATTTAAACCATACCAAAGGATATGAGGCAGGCGATGTGGGATTTCCAACACGTCCCCTCCAACGAAGCCTGTCAGACCAGACAAAGGGTACTTTGACTGACAACGAAAGGGAAGCTCTTGGCCCAAGACAATAACCGGAAAAATGTTAGGTTTTGGCTCTGATACCATGTTAAGGTTCCAACATTAAACTAATTGGCAATATGTGGAGTAGTATGACATGAGGCAGGCGATGTGGGACTTCCAACAGATGTCATTGGACTATGCTATATACTTTGTTGCTAGATTGAATGAATGGCTATAGGGGATCTTGGCTAGTCAACATCTTAATACCTAGAAATTTGAGTATTTCCTTTATCATCATACAACAATCCTTGTCCTTGTCTTTTTTGAGGTATATGAGAATGTGAATCATAACATTGCAGTGGTTGACATGAGGAGCTTGGATGAATTGATTAACAACTTGAAACACAAAAGTTATGAGGTCTAGTAATTTTGAGATAAATGAGCTTCACAACAAGTGTTCTAAATCTTAAACCCTAAACCATATGACTATCAATTAGGCTATAGTTAGTCATGCTTGTCTCTTACAAGATATCAAAAACATACTTTTTTTGAGAAATAATTATACCTTCTTTTGATTGAGCCACTTTACTACCAAAAAGTATTTTAAGCATCCAAGATCTTTGGGTTTAAAATGATTGCACAAATGTTTAATTAGCTAGGAAATTTTGGCAACATGTTCCTTGTAATAACTAAATCAACAACATAACACCTAGGAAATTTTGTCAACATGTTCCCTGTAATAACTAAATCAATAAAAAAGCACAGTTAAATGAATACATTTACCATAGGAAGTATGACAATAAAAATTGAAAGATTTGTGTCACTATGTTTTAGTCCAAGAAAAAATGACTATATTTCCCAAATCATGCTTGTGGAGATTTTTGAGCTCATAAAGGGATAGTCTCGTATTTAACAAACTAACCCACACTCCCCTAAGCAACAAACTCATGGGTTGCTTCATAATGGTTACTCGTTTAGCCTTAAGTTGAGTATAGCCAACCAAACATATGCAACAAAAAATATAGGGTGAAAGATGAAATGAAAAGGTTCATTTGGAAATAGAATTGAATGAGGAATTTTATTTTCGAGTGAAGATGTCATTCTATTTGTTTCATGAATTGATAGTTAGAATGATAGCACCCTAGTGATGGACTTGGTACATTAGCATCAAGAAATAAGGTATGTGTATTGTCAGGTGAATGTTTGCTTTCCCTCTTTGCTATACCATTATGCTGTGGTGTGTGAAGACAAGTAGTTTGATGCAAAATGCCTGGTGAGCTTAAGAGGGAAGAAAAAGTAAATTTTTTATCGCCAAATTATCTTTTAATTTCATGAAAAAATACATGACAATAAATAGATAAAGGTATAAATAATCTTTAACACAAGTACATCGAGCATCTTCATAAATGAATGCAATAAAATATCTCAACCTAAAAGATTTGGCATTGCTTGGGCCCAAATGTTTGAATGAATGGTGGAGAAAGCAAAGATACATAATTTCTTCCATTAAACTCTTCTAAAGTTATCTTGGGAGTTCCAAAGAAGAACATTGGTCTTGGAACCATTCTGTAATGAGTACAAGAGAGAGGATTTCCACAAAAAGAACCTTGCTTAGGCCCTCTGCCCTAACAGGATTAAGAACTCAAGGAGAAGGTTGAAATAGGGACCCAATGGAGAAGTCTGGTGTCTCTGCGGTCACCAGAGGGTAGTGCATGAGCTTCATGCCCTTGGTTGAGTTGGGCAAAGGTGGCATGTGTGGAGGTTTCTGCCTTCACAACTACTATGATTGTGTCTCAGTTGACGAGGCACACCAGATTCAACAACCAGCAATGGCTAATACTGAACTGTGATACGCAAAGCAGGATCAGAATCATTCTGATTCCAAGTTGAGAATAATAGATTTAGAAAGTGGTGTTTGAGAGATTATGAGCTCTCAAAGGATCTATCTATTTATATAAATTAAGTGTCCAAACTAGTAGTACAAAAGATAGAGTAATTAAAGTCTACATCAAGGACCCAGTATGATTGACAGGTACAACAAAGTAGAACTTAAGTTGTGCAGAAGACATTAATAAATTTTCCTAACACCATGTTAAGTTTAATGATTTTGTTTTTATCCTTGGCATGGGAGAGTTTTTCTTTATTACTTTTAAGTTTGATTTTGTTTGTTTGTGCCATATCTTATTCTGTTTATTATTGTGGTTCTTGATACGTTTAATAGCACAACTATTTTGTTAATTTCTTTTCCATCAAATTGTTTGGCCACACTATTTTATGAAAGGTATATGTTTGTATTGGTTCATAGATATATTAGTTCTCTTAGATATATGATCGCCTTTTAGCTCTAAGTTTACTTGGGGAATTTTTTGGGTTTGTGGTTCATTTTCATATTTTAAAGCTGAAAGCCAACTTATGTGATTCTCTCAAATACAGTAGTTACTTTGCTAGAAGTGAAGATCTAGATGATCAACCATACTTTTACTTTAACCCTTCCATATTCCAAATTTTGTTGCTTACACTTCAACGATTATGTTTATGCTTGTAATGAACTTTTTGGCATAGGCATATTTTATGCAAGATGATCAGTGCTACACACTTTTATCTATCACACTTTTATGTGGAACAGGGATATTTTTAGTGCAATACAGGATTGTATGTTCTTTGTATTTAAAATTATCACAATTGGCATCATTTTCCTTGTCTCTATTTTGTTTCCAAATTTCTAAGTCTGCAGTGAACATTGTATTTTTCCTTTATAGTTTTATGGGTTCCTTTTCAACTTGTTGAAAAGGTGAGATTGATCTTGACTTCTGTTTGTCTTTGCTCCTTTGCAGTGTGTAGGTGTGATCAATCTTGGTGGTGAAGTAGGATGTATGATCAGTGAAGGCCCTTGGGTTTTTGTTGGGATACCCAATTTTGTCAAGGTAAGAAAGAGTAATAGGCATAAAATTTTCTTTTTCTGTCATGTTGTACCTAATAAATTTTCAAATAAAGTACATCTCTATAATTTAGAGAAATGTTTTTGCTATGGTATGTTCTTTTCACTGCTTGTTACATTATAACTGATCTCCTCTTGACTTGAGATAAATAAAAGAGAGAAAATATTTTTAGAGAATTTGAATCTTTTTCTCCTAGATTCCTTATTTATATATGCAAAAAGGAGATATATAATCATCGAGAGAAAAGAGTGTAAAACAAGTAAAGGCATCTCTAGGTGCATATAGGTACAATACAAAACAACTTTTAATAATGCCTATTCTATACCTATTTAACATTCCAACAATAGATTATATGTTTCAAGCTTAGAATATATAAATTGGATTTGAGGTTCTCTTAAGGTTTTTGTTTACACATTTGTGAGTTGATTATTGGATTCTACAAATTTAGGCAACATTCCTTGAACAAATTTAGTTTCTATGTGTTTGGTTCTCTTATAGAACACATGATTGGAGGCAATGTGGAGAGTTGCTTAATTATCAATACATTTTCATTTGTTGAATCTCACTATATTTGAGTTCTTGGAGAAACTACTTTACCCACGTAAGTTCACAAGTGAGAGATGTAATTGATCTATATTCGGCTTCAACACTTGATCTAGTAACTACATTTTGTTTTGGGCTTTTCCAAGAAATAATATTCCCTTCAATGATAATATAATATCTTATAGCGAAGTGTCTGTTCATAAGAATTATGTTCAATTAGCGTCATAATACCTAGAGTTATGGGTATTCCCTTTATATTCATATAATAGACCTTGTCCTAGAGCTTTTTTGAAGTATCTTAATATACAAATGACAACATTTCAATGATCAACACAAGGGTTTTGCATAAGTAAACTCTCAGCACCAACTGCAAATGGGATATTAGATTTAATAATACTAAGATAAATAAGTTTTTCAATAAACCTTTTATATCTTTTTTGGGTCAGAGATAGGTTCATTGTTATCAACCATTAAGTTTTGATTTGGGTTCATATGACTATCCATTGCTTTACAATCATTCACACATATCTATTTCAAGATATTTAGAGCATATTTTCTTTGAGAAAGTACAGTTTCCTTTTTTGATTTAACCACTTCAATGTCCAAAAAGTATTTGAGATAACCTAATTGGAAGTGATTGCATAAATATTCCTTTAGTTAAGAGATTCTAGCATCATCATTCCTTGTAATAACTATGTTATCATCATACACAACTAATTTGACACATTTTCTACCGAAAGTATGACAACATAAAATTGAATGATTTGTCGTAATGCGGTTTAGTCCAAAGGTTTGAACAATATGACTAAATTTTTCAAATCAAGCTTGTGGAGAATGCTTGAGAGTATAGAGAGTGACACAATTTACAAAACAAAACAGACTTCCCTTGAGTAATAAACTCAAGAGGTTGCTTTATATAAACTTCCTCTTCTAGATCACCATGAAGAAAAACATTTTTAATATCCAATTGGTGGAGAGGAGAATGATGAATAATTGCTATGGAAAAGAGGAAGATATTAGTCATCTTAATCGAGACCATAGATTTGAGTATACCATTTAGCCATAAATATATTTTTGAGGCGATCATCTTTACCACGGTGCAACATTAATGGCATCAACCTAGCGATATCCACTTGTCTTCTTATCATATGTAAGAGGAATTAACTCCCATGATGTTAAAAAGCTTGTATTTCAACAATCATGACAACAAAATCATGGTTTGTTTCAAGCTTGACACATACAATTTGTATGCTCCAACTTGAAGGGAAGTGTTAGAATTATTATTAGGTAGTGGTTGGTAGTTGGTGGTTGTTTTTTAAATGCTATAATCTTATATATATATATATATATATATATATATATATATATATATATATATATATATATATATATATATATGTAGGATTACAACATTTAAAAAACAACCACCAACTACTAACCACTATCTAATAATGATTCGAACAGAAACCATGGTAGAGGATTCAATAGGCTCTTGCACATTTCTACTTTTAAGAGTTGGATCATGAAAAAGTCTTTTTGTCAAACTTTCCATAGTTGGAACTTCTTTACCTGTTATGATTTGATTCCTAATATGATCAAAATCTGAATTCATGGCATGGAGGATCAGAACCATATATAATTTGTCCAACTTCTTAGCTTCTTCTATGGTGTCATCTTTCAAGAACATCTTCCATTCTTCAAAAGCTGTCCTTCAGTAATAAATAACATCATATCATGACCTCATTGTTCAAGTGAAGCCAACTTGTGTCCAGAATCAGAGAGCAAAGTTCTTGGAGTTCCCAATATTTGGGTTCCAGATATTACTATAATAGAGCACATAGTTGAAACTCTAGCTTTTTCCATTGTGCAAAATTTTTTGATGAGATCTCACTAACTTCCTTCTCTAAATGATCATAAAACACTTGATGAAGGAACCATAACTGAACAGATGCTAATTAAGATAAATAATTTTTTCCATTAAGTTTTTTTTTTATATAATGGTAGAAGAACCTCAAAAACAGCATGCTGGTCCATAAACCATTTTTGACCAAAAAGGAGGGTGAAAAAGGAATATCTAAAGGGAAGAAGAGGAACAATGCAACCAACTTGCAAGGAAGGGACAAATATGGGTTGACCTAGAACTAGCTGAGGATGACAAGCAGATCGGTAAAAGTTGACATGTGAGTTACATGGTTTGAACTCACTAAGAAAAGGAGCACACACAGTGGTGCATGTGAGGATGGCTGGTAGGGATGACAATTAAACCCATATCTGTGGGGACCGACCCATCCCTGTCTCGAGTTTGACAGGAAAAACCCAAGTTGACCAGGGGCGGGTTCGGGTTTTCTCCGCTTTAAAAAGTCGAGGGCGGGGATGGGTAATACAATCCCCACTCCGACCTCGACCCCGTCCCCGCCTCGACTTTATATTTAAATTTTAAAATATTAATACTTTAAATATATTTTCTTTTCTTTTTCTATTACATATAAGGTTATTTTTTTAATATTTCACCAATTTTTATTTTTCTTCTACCCACTTTTAATTTTTTTGTCTTTTTTAATCTTTTATATCAATTAATTTATTATATTATTCTCTCTCTTACCTTTCTGTTTTTTATATTTCCTTAATTTCTCCCATCAATTTTTTTTTTTTAATCTTTTCAATCAATTTGATGAACATAAAGTAAATTTTTTTTCTTCTTTATCTTTTTCTAAATATTTTACATAAATCCTAGTAGTAACTAATATTATTTTATTTATAATTTATATTTATTAGGTTTTATTATGTCATGTTTTTTGATCTTATTATTCTTATTTATCATATATCAAATTTTATCTTAATAAAATAATTATATTTTAAAGGATTAAAAGAAATTGATAATTTAAACTTTTATTACTTCGAACTAATTAAATAAGAATTAACTTATTAAATATTTTCTTATAAATTATATATTTCATATTTTTAAATGACAACTTAAAAATGAATTAACTTATATATATAATTAAATATTTGAATACAGTATTATAATAATAATGTTATAACTATTCAAATATTTGAATAATATAATAATAATGTTACAAATATTCTCTCTATATATATATAAATAAAAAATAATTAAGTATTTTTTACATACATATTTTAATATAAATATAATAAATTAAAATGTATATTTAATTAATAATAATTATAAATTATAAATATTTATTTATATATAAAAAATACATAATAAAATTAATTTATTATAAATGTAATTATCTTTTTAAAAATAATATAGATTGGGGACGGGAAACCCGAAACCTAACGGGGATGGAGACTTAATTTTTAACCCCGGCGGAAATCGGTGACGGGGATGGTTAAAAAAGTCGGGGATTGGGATCGGGGAGGCAAAACCCGCCCCCGTCCCATTGCCATGCCTATGGCTGGCTTCAAGATCAGCGAGGTTGGCCATGGTAGTGAGTGACGCACCAGATCTGATGGTTGTCAGAGCTTATTGTGAAAACCCGTGCTGGTGAACAGCAGATGGCGTTTTCTTACCTAGACAAGAATGGGACAGGCAGTGTGGGATCAACACACTCCGGTACCAACTTGAGATAGATAAAAGAGAAAAAATGTTTTTAGAGAGCTTGAATCTTTCTCTCTTGTGTTTTGTTATTTATATATGTAAATAGTAGAGATACATTATCAAGAGAAAAGAGTGTAAAACAATTTAAGTTACCTCTAGGTGCAGATAGGTAGGTATAGTACAAAACAATTTTCTTATACAGCTTATTCTATACCTATTCTAACATTTTGGTCGATGACATTGGTGCTGCAGGCCTGGAACACTCAAAATTTAATGGAGCTAAGTCTAGATGGTCCTGTTGGACAAGTTTATGCCCTTGTTGTGAACAATGATATGCTCTTGGCCGGTACACAGGTAATGATTTTTTCTCCCTTTGACAATGTTTTTGTCTTGTTTGAGTCATGTTTTATATTTTCACCCAGTAGTGTTGGTTTCATTGTTGATTATCTTTACCATGCTTAGGACCTGTTGGATGAGATGAAAAAGGGCATTTCCATCTGTTGTGCTTATATGGATTAAACTTTTTAGAGTGGCATCTTACAATAATGTTAGGGAACTAAATGTCTTGGAATTACGGCTGATAATATTTAGGTTAATTTTACGGTTGATAGGTGATGCTGAGATATGGAAATGAAGACATTAAAGGAGAAACATTAAATAAAATTATTTGCCTTTGCCAAAACCGTTGATAGAAATTTGCAAGTGCAATAGTTTTCTTGAAAAATAACTAGGAGAATCTAATGGGTATGGAAGGGATAGAAAAGTTTTTGTTTTTAAATTAAGAGTTATATGATAATTATTAAAAAATAAAAAAGATTTGATCATTCAGTTTATGCTAATCTATCATTTTATTTCTTTCATTTTAATTAATATTTATTACAAATGAAAAACTCTCATTTTTCTTTCCCACAAAATGCCATGAAAAGAGAAGAAAAGCATGGAAGTGGACTGATTCTGAAATTTGCAATTGGTTTGGCAAAGAAGAATTAAGAAGAAATGAACTGAAAGTGTGTTACTGTTCAGTTATTCTCAAACAACCTAAGAAGTGTTGAAATGCACTGAACAGGCAATGAGAGAGTTTTTTTATATTTTTTTTATAAACTCTCAATTTTCTATTATATTTATAAATAATTATTATATAATACTGAGTAATAATTATTTTATTTTATTTTTTCACATATTTCTCTTTCTCTTTTCTTTTCTCTTCCACTCCCTCTATTTCTTTTCTCTTTACCAAAGATAGCAGAAGGGAAATGAATGGAAGATGAGGGATGATATGATTGTAAATAATAAATAATTATGTCACACCATAAGTCTTCAGATGTAAAGGATTGGGTTGGATAATGCTTTAAAACACTGACTTCTAGCTAATAAAGCAAACCAAATTAGTCTTTTGGCCCATGTGATTGACCAAGAAGTTGTCTTATGCCTAGTTGTGCTTTGAGATGTGACAATAATGTTTTGAAGCAATTGTTAGTTGGATATGTGGGATATTCCCGATTGCTGGTGGGTATCTTGGGAAATATTTTTGTTAAACTCAACCAAACACATTTCAAAGCCTTTTGTATTTTGTTATTATTTAAAACGAGAACAGAATACACAAGAAAAGGTTCTAACTTGTGTACACATTTGGAATACCGTCTTAAATTTTAATCTCTAATGTAGTACTTCTCCTGCAGGATGGATCGATATTAGCATGGAAGTTTAATGTAGCTACCAACTGCTTCGAACCTGCTGCATCACTTAAAGGTCATTCTCGTGGTGTTGTTTCATTAGTTGTTGGTGCTAATAGACTTTACTCTGGGTCAATGGACAATACAATAAGAGTAAGTGTATATATGCTCTTTGTCATTCGCGTCTTGTTCATTTTCCTTTAGATTCTCTCCAAGCAATGTGATTATTTGGTTTGTTAATTTGGTACATTTCTTCCAACTGGTTGTTGTCCTTCAGGTATGGAACCTTGAAACCTTGCAGTGTATACAGACACTAACAGAGCACACATCTGTTGTGATGTCAGTTCTCTGCTGGGACCAATTCCTTTTATCTTGTTCCTTGGACAAAACCGTGAAGGTTGGTTTCACAAAACTTACTGGTTGTATATGTATTGACTATATGTAAGTTCTGCAATTATTATTTGATTTCTGCAGGTATGGTATGCTACAGAAAGCGGAAACTTGGAAGTGACGTATACTCACAATGAAGAACATGTATGCATTATATTATTTATTTCTCCCTTGGGTACTTGATTTTATTATGTGATGTTTGAAATGTTGATGTCTCATTGTGTGGAATCAATTCTTAGTTCTGCTATCACTGATCCACCTACTACTTCTTTTGAACTAAACTCAAATTCTTGCGAGATGTCTGTGGTTTTTAGAAAATATATGAAATGTGCTCAAGTTTCTGGTGATGAAAACGAGTCAGTGGCTAGTTTTCCTTTTGCATACAATCAGATAGGGACTTGACCAGAAAGTTGAAGCTTTCTTTTTAAATTCATTCATTGGTGATAATATTATTCTTAATATCATTCCTCTTAAATAATGGGGCCTTTAAGACAAAAACTGACTCAAATCTGGATATAGTAACTCTTTAAGAGCAGCCTTGTGTAGAGCAGAACTAATAAGTTGTAAGCCAAAGGAAAAGAAGTTTTGGCGTTATATTGGAAAAACTAAAGTCTCACATCGACCATAAATGGTGCCAAAATATAATATTTAAGTGGGGCCAATCCTCACCTTATAAGTTTGTTTCTATAAGATTGAGTTAAGTCTAAACTACTTTGTAAAATCGTATCAAAACTATCTTAGATCCATTAAAAGGGTCATTCACCATGTTATACACTTATCAAGCTCAATAGTGCTAGATGTGGGGATGTATTGGATAAAACCTGTCCTACATTGACTAGGGATAATGTCAAAATATAGTATATAAGTGGGGGTAGTTCTTATCTTACAAGCCAGTTTTATAGATTAGGATTAATTTAGATATATATCATTTTGTACGATGGTATTAGAGTTTATCCTAGATTTATTAACAGGGTAGTTCACCATACTATACATGTAGCTAGTCCAATATATCTTACTATTTTACATATAATAATTAGAAAACTCTGGATGGGTGGAAACATGGCCCATGCATGCACCCGCACCTGTTACTGATACTATATTCTGTATTTCAACCATTTTCTATTTTTATGTGCACGCATTTGCTGCATTATCATTTTCAACGGTTATCACTTTTTTTGTTTTATATAACTATCTTTCTCTAGATAATATTGAAAACGAAATGGAATTATCGTTGTTGCTGATGTATATTATTTAGATATTATTAACATTAATTACTCGCACATGAAATGTGGCTAGTGGGATTTGTTGAGTGTGTGATGTGAGGTGGCTTCCATGATTCTGACGATGCTGTAACCTGTGTACAGGGTATACTTTTCCTATGTGGGATGCATGATTCACAAGGCAAGCCCATTGTGCTGTGTGCTTGCAATGATAATACCGTGCGCCTCTATGATCTGCCATCGTAAGTAATTGACTTCCTATTCATGCTCTCGTTTTGTTCTCTTGTTTCCACTACAGAGTAGAAACCACTAAAATAATTGCCGCACATGGTTCTCTACAAAATTGAATATGGTTTCACTTCTCTATGTTGCAAGTGGAATTAATAACTTGCATAATAAATCAAGCTTGTTATGTAATACATGCAAGTGAAACCCAAGCTAGATTTCTTGTCATATTAAACACAAGCACTCATGAACAAGACACCCACACAATGTATAGAATAAATTTCAATTTTAGAGAGATAAGAAAATATATGGTGGTTGTACTTTGTAGTAGTGGAAATAAGATTTACTTCGTATTCAAGCTCTCTCCATTCATTGTTTGCCCCATTTCTTGTTCAGATTTGCAGAGAGGGGTAAGATATTAACTAAACAAGAGGTACGAGCAATCCAGATAGGGCCTAACGGCATATTCTTCACCGGAGATGGTACCGGTGAAGTAAGAGTGTGGAATTGGACAGCGGAGGCAACCACTACCGTCCAATAAAGTGACACCTACAATGTGTTTCATTGAATTGTTTTACTAGTTTTTTCTGGTCTTCCTTTTTGTAATTTTTTTAGCTGCAAGAAGGGATTAAGGCTGAAGTTGGGAAGAGGCAGAAAAAGAGAGGTAAAGGGAGTGTATGTAATTTAAGTTTGCGGAAGTAGTCTTGCGTTTAGAATTTGAGCTGTGGTTTTAGTGTTGAGTGGGTATCCTTGGCACAAAGCTGTGCTCAAGTAGGCGTTCCTATTACTGCTTGTAACATTTTGTGAATTCACAACATTATTTAGTCTTATTACTTGACACCTCCAATGCATATATACACAAACTAAATAAATGTTTGTTACTTGTTATTTACAAGTAATTAGGAGGTCTTGAATTTTCATCTCCTGTATCTTTTTCCGGGTGATCACGAGCCTGACGAAATATAAATATGATGCAACCCCTGTGTTTCTTTTGCTGCAGCCATCAAAACTAGTCATGTTATAATTACCAAAAATACTCATTAGTTCACATTAGTTTGGGTAAAGTGGTTCCTCTAGATTCCATATCTTCGAGAGAATGGATTTTAGATCTTTGTTAAGAAACTTAAGAGTCGATCGTGCCAACAACTTTTTGAACATTAATTTGTATCTTTGATTGCAGTCGTTTTTAATTCGTTTCCTGTTGTACACAATCTCAGCACTATTTTATTAATAATTTTTCACCCGGGTTTTGAAGTCACAACTGTATCTCAGATGGTCTGGTAGCTGGAGTACACATCATAATCACTGACCTCGTCGCTTATATATTGGAGACGTGGTCCTCTGAGTCCACACACGAAATACTTGTACCATTTACTTATTATGTCGTTTCTTTTTGGTTGTATATTATAATTATAGCAAAAAAGTTTGGTGATCAACAGCCTGCTACGTTTGACCATAATCGGAAACTTCGAAAAACCATCTTAACGTCATGCTATTCCTCTAGGCAATACTTCAGCAACCCCCTGCAGGAACACCTACCCTTGTAAATAGGTAGCTCTATAGATGAATATGGTATTATAATATTTATAATTTTGTATACATGGGCCACAGGATTCGATGGCTCCGTTGCATTGAGATTGATATTTGAAGCCACACTAAATATGAACCACATCCAGAGGGTGGACCACTTAGTACAAGCTTTTGGATAAATTAATAAATGACCTGCAACCTTTGATTATGACAGGTTGATGGCAAAGTTATCCATCATGGTCGACTCCAAAATGAGGGGTTATAGCTGTCAACTTTGTATTTGCATTTTTACATATTAGAATAAAACTTAAAATAAGCATAATTTATTATCCTTTTATATGACAGGATAAATCCCGAGTCAAATTAGTATACTTATTTTTTTTTTAAATATAATAAGGATTGATTAAGTAAGTTTACTAATATTTAGAAGGTAGATATTTATTATTAACTTGATCTATTTCACCTCTGACCTAATCTTTTTATATCATCATTTTCATAAAATTAATTCAGACTAATCTTCATTGTCTAACTTGATACGTTGGATTGGATTAATATTGATCCATAGAGTTAGATCAATTTTTATAATTTAACTTAACATAATATATCATATCAATTTTGAGGCGTAAATTCCTTATTATCAAAATGTAGTTAAGAGAGGACAATTCGGGCTAAATATGTATGTGCACAACAACATTTAACTATCCATGGTCCATCGTAATTAGAGCATGGTGGATAATTGTTTAATTTTCATAAAATTAATTTTAAAATGTAAAATGTGATTAGAATGTATACTCAAATTAATATCACTCATATTTTATAATTTAATTTGAAATGAGGAAATACTAGTCCTTAGAATATTTCAGGGAATTATAAGATGAAAAGTGACAAAAAAAGAAATTCAAAATTTTATAACAGTTAATTTTTACATAAATTATTTTTTATTTCATAACAAATAATATATTTCTTAACCGTTACAATTAATTATCATAGTGACTAATATATTTAACGTACTTATTTTTTTCGTATAGTTATAATATTTTCTTGTGATATCGAGACATGTTAGACGTATCTTTCGTGAGAATTACGTATCCCTAAACTCATTTATTAACTCAATTAATTCATGAAATTTTATGTTTTTTTTTTCCTTTATTGCATTTTTTATGATAGATAAATCAATATGAGTGGTAGCACTTATACTGATTTTTCCTTTACTCTTTCTCTTGACTACCTTTTATCTTATAAGGCAAGATATTGATGACGCTATGTCACATTTTTCAACTTCAATGGGTGTTTTCAACTTTGAAGATGATGAATATGCGCTTGAAGTAGAAATTTGTTGAGAAATTCAAGTGAGTCTAAGTCTCTCATTGTGTTAGAATAGAGAGCACCATATAAGAAAAAAAAATACTCATAACCTAAAGTCTTAAAGTTTTGAGTTAAAAGTAGTATTAATCCCTTGTGTGAATTTGAATCATGTCTCATTGGTGTTGTCTCTTCCTAGTAAATCCCTCATCAAAAGACACAACAAAATCTTGCATCTTCTTGAAGTATAAATATTGATTGCCATTTTAGCTAATCTCTTAACAAGAACCAAACATGTTCATTTAAAAAACAAGTTCCCTTTTGAATGATATGTTAAAATCTTATGTGCGAATGACATAACATTTTTTCTCGACCTAACCATTTCCCCTTTAATTGACAATTTGTTTGTAACATGCATTAAATTTTTGCACTATAGGGTAAAATTTACTCCATCAAGATTTTAATTGACTCACTGATCTCTTTGTGAAAGTGTTATGTTCATCATCATTGTTATATATTTTTTTGATACGCTATCAATATTGGGTTAATGACTGATCAACTCCAACAATTAGATCATTCGATAAATTCAATCATGATCAAATTAGAATTGTATCTTTTAGTGTTGAGAATGCTACACGAGGTTTTCTCTGAGACATATTTTTACCGCTTTCATCAAGTTGGATATTATCAAGTCCGATTAGGGAAGAAGACTCTATGTTGGACGAAGAAGAAATGTTAATCATATTTAATTTCATTGGTGGAAACATAAAAAATGTTACCCATAAGAGATGAATGATTTTGCAATAAATTATAATAATATTGGTTATTAAATTGATTGGAATCCATAATTGGAGAAGAAGAAAAAGGGTGAAATGAAGGATATGAGCAAATATTTTTCTCTTAATGGAGGTTTTACAGTATAAAAAAATGATTACTGAATGGTCAAGTTTAAAATCATTTCTTAACGACTAATGACAAACACAATCCAACTATCCATATTTTTTTTCTCTAAATCTAATAGTCCAATTTTTCAACTTCATTCTTCCATTTAATCATGCGTCTCCTCCATCTTGTTTTCTCCATTTCACTCTTCCTCTTTGCCTCTTTCCCCTTGTGTCTGTTGTTCATTGTCATTGTCCACATTCGTCTCCACCTCCTCTCTGCCTCTGCATTCACTTCCACTATCATTCTTGTTGTGACCGCATCTTCCTTTCCTGCCAATATCTACTTTTGTTATTGTTGCATCCATTATCAGTGTCCATGTCTAAGGGGTGCGATATTTATTAGAATTTTATATATTTTAATTTTGATTTTAAAAATGATTATTATTACTGTTGGTGTTGGTTGATAATTTTGTAATTTTTTATTAAAGATGTATGAATTTAGATAATTTTTTGAGAATAAATTTTATATTGATGATGAATGATTTTGGTTTACTTGTTATGTGTAAGATATTAAAATATTAGATTTTATTTTAAGTAACATGTGTTTTATGAAACAATTTTCTCTCTGAAACAATTCTTCATGTCAAGTTGTCTTTTCCAATGGAGTACATTGGAAAAATTGGAAATATTCTTCTTTAGAGATGCTTAAGTATCTCCAATAAAAACAACTCAAATGAGTTATTTTTTACTTTAGAAAATATAAAAAAAAATTATGATGCCACATTATTTTTAAATAACTCACTATTTATTTTACTCTATTAGAAATTTTCTTAATAAAATTTAAAAAACACATTCCCTCTCCTCATTTACTTTGATTTAATTTACTTATTTATACTTCTTTTTGTAAGTTACTTGATAAAACAATTACAATAAAAATGTAAATATTTTATCATACAGTATACGATTTCTTCAGTGAAAATTTGTTTTAATAATTAATACTTTATTTAAGAGCATCTCAATAAATAAATTAAAGTAAACGAAGAAAAAGAATAAGTTTTTCAAATTTATTAAAAAACTTTTAATAAAATAAAACTAATAATAAGTTGTTTAAAAATAATGTTATATCATAAATAATTATTTAACCCAGGGTTATGATATTTCAACAACATATTTTTTTCAAACATCAATTAAATAATTCACTTTTAAATTTGTATATTATTTAATTTATTCATTTATCTTATTCCATTTTCTCTTCATTAATAAAAAGAAAAATAATTTTAGAATTGTTTATGAAATATTAAAAAAATTGGGTTTCAGAAAAATATTTTCCCTTCTAACTTATCTAAATCACTCGTATCGGAGATTCTAACAGATGTTGCCATGATTTTCCTAAGATAATCAACATGTCAATTTCCAAAAGGTATTTAGAATATAATTTCTGAAGCGAAAGAATTTTATACGTTACATGAAGTTCATTCCCGAAAATAGTTAATGTGTCCAACATTAATGATTCCTTAAAAACCATGAATCAATATTCATAGGCTGTTTCGAAACTTGCAGAGAGGAAATGGGCTTATTTACATATTCCGATACCAGAAATATATGGAACCTAGACCTGTATTTTTCTGCTATGTTGCGCAAGAAATATGAAGAAAACGGAATATATTAAATATATCCTTAATTATATAAAAAATATTATGTAATATAAACATAAATAATCAATTATGTATAAAAAATTTAATTACTATTTTCTTTCTATGTTTTTATTATTAAAATAATAAATAGTTAAAAAACTAAATTAAAAATTAAAAATTAAAATAATTAAAATTTTATTGTAATTTTGACTTATTTCTACTTTTTTTTCTTTTAATCAAAACAATATTATTTTTTACTTTTTTTTATTCCCTCCAATCAACTCTTTAATCTAAAGAAAGGTCTAATCTCTCAATGACTAATGAACAAATTTGAGGGTTTACTCATTTTATTAAAAAGCAAAGGTTTCACCACATAACTGAATCCGTAGATGCTGCAGTTATCATGAACATTTTTTACAGTCCTTCTTGAAGCCACTTATTCATAATACAAGTCATCAATACAGTGGTATTACATGAACATCAACATGAAATTAAATGATTTATTCAAAATAAGGCAGTTTGTAAAGGTGCAGTTCAGAATCTAAAGATTGAACATGACCTTGATGGCATTACCACCACGAGCACTTGTTTCAAAGGCTTCTTCCACTTCCTTCTGAGAGAATCCAAACCTGTGAGTTATAAGGGGTTTCACATCGATTTTGCCACTCCTTAGAAACTCAAGGCAAAGAGGCCATGTGTTCATATAGCGAAAAACTCCAACCACATCAACTTCCCTGAATTATGTATTATAAACCATCACATCACTATCAAATGTTACACATGAATCAAGAAAAATCAAGGTATGCAAAATTATACACAACTCATTATATATGACAAGTTTTTTCTGAAATCACTCTTATGTCATGAAGAATTGCCTGTTAAACTTGAACGAATAGTTTAATTTGCTTCATGTATCGCATCTAATACTAATATACTTGGACTTTTCACTGATATGTATGCATCTATGAAGTACAGAAATATAGAAGCATTGTCCTTTGATGAACCAATCTAATGAATGATTTCAAGAAAGGAAGAGATTGAGATTATTTAGCAATGTCAAAGAATATGTTCTTAATTTGAATTTGCATAACATCGCTAAAAACAAAATAAAAATTATATATTATGCATAAAGATATGCATCAAACACATCATATCATAAAAATCTTAGAAGTAATCATATTATTGCATCTGATATAAGTGTATCTATGCATCATACATAGTCTGTAAAACATGAAATATAAGCATTTAGTTATTTACTATTTTAATAAAATAAACAAATACCTTACTGCAGCTGGGGTGAGTGGGAGAGTCATTACAGAATGTCCCATTCCCACTAGGCAAACTTTGCCACCTCGCTGAGTAGCACCCAGTGCTGTAGACATGGTTTTGTCAAAACCGGCACAATCAAAGGAAACATTTATACCAGCTCCCATAACTTTTTTTATCTTCACAACTTCTTCATCCACATCCTGCAAAACAGTGAATTTAAAATATAGTTTCCTTGGTATGCATGGAAGCACTCAGAATGCAAAGTAAATATATAAATAATGTGTCACACAAACACATTTAAATGGTGCTCTTTCAAAACCATATTACAGAAAACAAGCACTAAAACCTGACTACTGAAGGGAGAGATAACAAGTGTGATCAAACAACAGTTCTTTAAGGAAAAGAACATATAAAGTGTAAACAAGGTGTCAACAGAATATATAGGAAATGATAAACGGAGACAAAGAAATAGCTACTGAACTGTCATCACACCTAACTTATGACAGCATCCAGTTAAAATACTAGTTTTGCTCGTTTCTTTATATCAAATAATTGTTTGTGAATAGGCACTGCATACATGGAAATTACTGTTATATATGACAGATGTAAATAGTGTCGCAGAAGGTATTGTCTGACATTCTTACTGTTAAAAAAGAAAATATGGAAGCCTTTGGAAAACTAAGGATTCTAAATACCTGAATGTTTGTTGAGACTTCAACGATACCATCTACACCAAGAGATTTTGCAACAGATAAACGATGATCATCCACATCCGCGATGACAATCTTGGGTGCTCCAAAAGCACGAGCTGCAAGCATTGTAACAAGTCCTATGGGTCCAGCTCCCATGATCAACACATTTGTTTCTGGTCCAATATTTGCTCTCCTACAAGCATGAACACCAACACTTAACGGTTCGCACATGGCCCCCTCCTCTAGGCTCACGTTGTCTGGAAGCTTAAAACACAGGTCTGCAGGATGCACTATCTGTAAAAGAGAAAAAGGAAACTCAAACATGGGTTTTGATTAGAGTCTTCACCACATTTGAGTATGGTGATTATGGGGACTATATCATGGTTATGATTATAATTGGATTTTACTAGTCATGGTCACATCACATGTACATTTAAATTGTGGGATAACCATTTTCTCATCCTCAGGAATATTCAGCAAAATTTCAATTCCAACTACATGCCAGGAATCAAAGTAATTTCTGTTTTAAATAGAACACTTTCCAATGTGAATTATCATAATTCACATCGAAGAAAATCATATTAAACATATCAAACTTGCCAGTTGCATGTTGAGTACGTTCTTGCAGGTTTTGTTCATAACATTTTAAGCAATCTGTATGGTTCAAAGCTGTGTGCAATTCAATAAATATTCTTTAAAGCGATCATTTACCTTGTTATTGTTTTTATCCGAATATGCGATGAAAATTTATCTTATGACGCACAAACAGGAAAGCTGGTGGTACTAATATATACAGCATGGTAATTAAGCTAATTGAAGATAACTGTATTTACTTATTATAACTTTGAAACCTATTAATGAACTGAGATTTTCTAGCAGAATGAAAATTCCATCCCAGAATATGCAGATCTTCGTCTACACAAACAATACCACTGGCTTCTATCGGTCTCAGCTTGATTTCAAAAGGCAAACCCTTCTTCATTAACCTACGTAGTGCTTTATAGCACAGTTGTGGAATCAAGTGTCTAAGTGCACACTGATTGCTACTATTTGGTTCATGTTAAAGCTTAAAATAAAGTAAAATTTATATTTTCAGTTTCTTCTTTTAGATATTTGATAAATCAATGGTAGGGAAAAATATTCACAAAGGGACTCCCTAGTAATTTAGAGTCATTGACATGAAACCAGTTGGTCACTGGCTTAATTTCATCATTTACTTGTTTCTACAAAAATTTTATCAATTTACTTATGCTTAATCTGGAAAAAAAAAAAAATACTACTGTCACAACATTTGAGAGAGCTTATGCGATACAAATACATGATAAGGCATATGAAAAATAGTCTCTTGGGTATAATACACTTGCCATTCTCCTTGTCTGAATTTACACACTTCTAAAATGAAAAGCATTTGTGAAATTATACTGATGATTTGTACAGATATTCAGAGAAACAGATTACAACATATCACATTACCTTTTCTTCGTATAGTTTCAAATCTGAGTCAAGGATATTAACCAAGTTTTGTTGGGATTCAAAAGCAGTTTTTTTAACTGATTCTATATTTGATGGCATGAGATTGAACTTGTCATTGTTTCTTTCAAATTCTTATTATTTCAAAAGTCAAGCATACTTCCGGTTACACGTGACTGAAAGAATAATACTTTTGAGCCGGTGTCAATTGTTTCAAACCTGATTCGCCAGGGAACCATTAACTGGTGGACTACCAAAAAACTTCATATCATCACATAAATTATATCGACCCTGTTTGCAGTGGCCGCATCTCGAACAACTGATCCCAGGTTCAATGGCCACACGGTCACCCGGCACCAAACTCTTTACCTGACTTCCAACTTCTTCTATGATCCCAGCACACTCATGACCAATAACCATTGGTTCCTTGACTATAAAGTTTGCACACCTCAGAGTCTGAAAAGTGAATGAAACAACAAATTTGAAACTTTTCACCGAAGAAAACTAAAGATAAACCAGGAAATAACGCCTGTAATAAAAATTTCAAACCTCAGGAAAAACTCATATCCAAGGTGTTCATTAGTTTGGGTGAGGACACAATGGACCAACTCAACCCAATCATATCTAATCTCTTAGGGGTTAACGCTGTGAGTTTTATACATTCATTCAGCGAGCAAAAAATCTAACTCGTTACCAAATTATTAAATAATAATAATAATAATTATTATTATTATTATATTAGTAAAATATTAAATTATTCAAATATTGTATAATACAATTATTTTTTTAAAATTATTTTAAAAAAGTTATTAATTTTTTTAAAATTAAAAAATTAATAAAAATTTCTTTTTAAAAAATTTGCCACGGAATTGATCCAACATAATCTAATCTGAATTGGGTTGGATCGGATCTAAAAAATACAAAAACCACCAGTCCAATTCAACATCAGGATGTTTTATTGAATTGGGTGATGAGTTTGGTCTAGTCTGACCCATCCAACATGTACGTACACTTGTATTCATATAGTCTTGTATATTATTGTGTAACAAAAAAAGTGCAAAAATTTAGAATATAATTAATCAAATTAATCTTAGGTTGCTACTTTAACTGAGCAGATCTTGTAGTAAACTGATTTGACACAGATAATCAAACTCCTCCAACACAACTTCATCCTTTTTCTTTTACTATGAAGTTCCATGCAAGAGGATTATATGTACCTTGAAGTGGTGAACATCACTCCCACAGATACCAACAGCCTTCATTCTGACTCTGACATCATAAGGTCCTTCCAAAACACAAATTAATTGAAATGGACAGTGAAAAGGGATTTGAAAACAGAACAAAAAAACAGAAAGAAATGACAGAGTTAATAGAGAGAAAATGGATACCTAAAGTACGAAGCTTGAAAGGTTGAATCTTGAGAGTTTTTATTCCAACAAGCCAAGCGGCCATGTTCTCTTCTTTGTCTTCTCCATGATCATCAATTGACATTCCTCCCTTACCCATTTTCCTTCTCTGTCTCTCTCTCTCTCAACTCTTGGAAGGGTTGAAGATTGCAAGACCTATATGTTGAAGTACTTTCAGTTATGACCAAGTGGCAGTGCAACCAGCAATGAATTCTATCAACAAGTGGCCTTTCTTTTCACTATTATTTTAGTAAAGAAAAATGCTTGGTTGACAATCCCAAGACCATGGTACAACCCATTATATTCATTAAATAATCATAATTATTATTATATTAATATTATTGGATGTTGATCAGTTATTTTGATTATCAAAATATCATGGTTCTTTAGTAAAACAGTTCTATATAATGAAAATCTATAATTAATAAATATTTTAGTTTATAAAATATTATATATAAATATTTTTATGTAAATTATATAATCAAGCGTTGAATAATTCCAGTGAGAGTCTAATTATAATATTACAAAACATTAAAAAAAATTAAACAATACATTAAAGAAAAAACCTAAAACTTAATTTGTTAAGGTTTGGATTAAGTTAAGTAAATAGTAAATCTCTCTCAAAAATATTTCTTTTGTATAACTATAATTTATGATAAATAAAAAATTTATTCTAAGAATTGTATTACGGTTAAATTATATACTAAATATCTATTTTTGAATATATAGATTTGACTTCAAGTTCAACTATTAAAGTTATTAAAGTTTGATATAGACAAAAGATAACTACAAAAGAAAACAAAAAAAAAAGTTTGTGATGATTGAGACATATTTGTTTTAGTTTATGGTAGAGATAACATGAAAAATGCATATTATCGGAAGAACACATTCTTCATAGCTCTAAGTGTATTTGAATTATAATTTGTAAAAGAGCATATGTAAATTCTGCAATAATGTTATTTCTAATTATTGACTATTTCTGTAAATAAGTATAATAAAAATTAATTTAGAGATGTCAATTAAAGAACAAATATATATATAAAAAAAGATAGAATATTAAGAATGTCAAATATGCTTATCTAGATATAAAGGTACTTTAAAATTATTGAACAAAAAAAGAGGATAGATTGAAAATCTTTAAAGATCTAAAAATACTGAGAATATGTATGTGAAAGAGATAAAATAGTTATAAAAGATAAAGTTATACAGTATGAGAAAAATGTTGATAATATACTTTCTATTATATTTCTTTATACATATAATTTATTAATAAAATTTATTAAAAATTGTGAACATCACATATTATTTATTTAATTTCACTGGTGATTTTCATTTTTATTATATTTTAACTAATAGATAATAATATATTAAAAGGAGACATGTAAAAAGAGTCTGTTATTGTCACTCGTCGTATTATAATTTATAACATTAAAAGTAAATTATTGTTAATTTTATGTTATTATCATTGTTATTTATCATGAATAAAGGAACCATGGATTTTTTGTGTTGAATATTGGATTGTTCTTATCCCTAGGCTTGCGTTGTTCATATCCTCTGCGTCACTTTCATCACTTAATACTAATGTCCCTTCACCAACTATTTGTCCAAAATCAATAATTATATATATATATATATATATATTGAAAATTCATTTATTTTAAATATAAAAGTGATACATGAAATTAAAATTTAATAATAAAATAAATATTATAAAATTAAAAATTATATTTAAAATTTAAAAATAAATTCTAATTTTTTATTTCTTATTTTAAGAATATATATATATATATATATATATAAAGAGATAAACGAATACGAATAAATTTAAATATTATAGAAATATTATTTTAGATTATTTAAAAATAAATAATACAAATTTAGGTTATTTAAAAATAAGTAATAAAAATTTTAGGTTACTTAAAAATATTTTTCTTAAAGTAAATTAATCTCTCATCTATTATTATTATTATTATTATTATTATTATTATTATTATTTATAAATGAAAATAAAATCAATTGTTAATATTAAAAATATTAATAAATAATAAAATAAGTTAATAGTTATTTTATATTTTGTGAGAAATTACTATAAGTTAAATATTTCCAGTGTGATATCAACATATAATTCAGTTGTAGGCTTTATATGAACATTAATTCATCTATGGTCTTAATTTTATTAAATTGCTCATATTTTTTTATTATAATTTTTTAACGTTTAAAATTTAAATTATTATCCAAATTTAATTTCTAGAAATAAAATGAACATAAGCTAAGCTGTGACATTATTTTTTATAAATTAGTGAAAGAAAAATATAAATTCTAAACTAATTTCTTATCAACATGATACTCTTTACAAACATGTTTTTTTTTTTATTATTCTTTAACTTCTTTTCAATTCTTACATATTTTTTAATTGGTCACCTTCTTCTTCTTTTCTTTAATAAAAAATATCCTTCAATATACATTTTAAAGAAAATAAAAATGTCTTTAAATGTAATTTGAAAAAAAAAATCAAACTTTTCGACATCTTTATACACTAACAAAACATGTTTGAAATGTGCGGTGTTATATTATAATTGTGTGTTTCACTGTTCTCATTTACTCGTACTAATATGATTCTACGTTTGATTTGTAATTTAATATTTACCATGACATTATTAATAGTTTTTAGTAGAAAATCGAGAAAAGTGATCGAAAAACGAAGGAAAGAAAAATCGAGAAACAGATGATTCATTGATAAATCGAAAAGACGGATGAGAAACCATTCGATGTCCAATTAGGAGTGCGTGACATATAAAATCGAGAGTTAAAATCGAGAATCGAAGGAATAATAGATGATGTTAAGATTAAGAGGAATCGAAAGCAAATTCAAAGTTCTCGAGATTTTAAAATCGAAATTGAGGGGAAGGCTAACCTGCGTAAATATCGAAATCTTGGCCAGATCATAAAGAGAAGGAGTTAAACGCGCACATAGGAAGCAGTTTCTAAATTGTGGTAGAGGTCGAAGATCATGGGAACGTGGGTCCAGTGTTAACACCACAGAAGAAGAAACTGCAACGTGCACGAAGAACGTGGTATCAGTTTTCGTTAACTGCTCCTAAGAGGCTACTTGAAAGATGATCTATAAATAGAGCAAAAGATGAAAGGTTGGGGAGGTGGAAAATTGGCAGAGAACAGAAATACTAGTGAGAAGTCTACCGGAGAACGACGAACATCATGAAGTTTCTGGCGATCTGGATTTCCACGCTCATTGAGTACCTTTACTGCTTTCTTTATTTTCCTTGGTAATTTACTTTGATGCATTTTATGTTTAGCAACTTTAAGTTTCTGTGTTTTCGATTCCCGGTCAATTTCAGTTTAATGGAAGTTAAGTTTTCTGCATTTAAATTTCTTGTCCTTCAACTTCGATGCAAATTCGATTTCCAGTTATTTACTTTTTCTGCGTATTTCGATTTCTTGCTATTTACATTTCTGCAATCTCAATTTCCCGTTAGTTCCGCAATTTCGATTCCTTGTCGTTTACACTTAATGCAAGTTTAAGGTTTCCGTACTTTACATTTCTTCGCAATTTAATATTCGGTGCTGCTTTTTTGATTTGATATTTTACTGCCTTTTTCTCTTCAAATACTATAAATATAAAATACCAAAAATAGTGTTTTCAATAAGTCATGACACTTTAGTAGGATTTTCTCGATATTGTGATGTTTTCGATTCTCATATACATTTCGATTGAAAAACATTTGCTAGCCTAAGTAAAAAGAACTTGCGTGGTTAAGTTTTGGTTAGAACAAAATCTCTTAAGAATCAGAATCGATCGAAATTCCACCAGAAACAATAGTAATGTGTGGATGTCTCATATTAGTTATGCTAGAATATTTAAAAAATTTAATTAGATGAAAATAGTGGTGGAGAAATATAGTGACAAATTATTTGTAGAATTTATATGTCTATTAAATCATTACATTCTTATTTAAATAAATTATTTTATAATTATTTGTAGTAAATTTTTATTTCTATTAATACAAATTTGTATATATTAACGTAATGATATAAATAAATAATATCAACAAAGAAGATCAGTTATTAATGAAATTTCTATAATTGGATTATTAATTATATTTTAATTTTATTATTAGTTATAAAATAAAAGTAAATTATTGATATTTAGATATTAAAAAACCTTTACAAATACTTCTTTTTTCTACTTTTTCTTTTAATAATAAAAAGTTATAAATTGTTATTTTCCTTCCGCACTTAATCATTCAACCAATTGGTTATTTTTCGCCTTAAGCTGCATTTGATTGTTGGACCATATAAATGTTTAACACATGATTCTTGCTAACTTTTAATTTTCCTAACTTAAAGTTCATTATTTGTTCATTTATGTTCATTATATTTCCTCTCCAATTAAGATCAACTTTAACAATGTAGTCCTCCCAATTAGTTTTACATACATTGCATTAGGTATTAGATATTATTGAACATGCAGAATTCCTCTTACAAATATATTAGAACAATGTTTTTGGTTATAAGTTATTGAAAATAATTAATAAAGAATATAAGGCTAAGAATGATTATCTAATAGCATGACAAATAATTTATATAGATCATGATATGTTTTAAATGTTGTTAATGTCTATCTTTCTCTTGAACCAAGATTTGACCATAATTTAATCAAAGGTTTATTTTTAAAAAGAACTTAGCTTCTAACAACTCATTAATGAGTTCATTATTAGGCATAAGAGAACTATCTTTAATGGTTGTTGCATTTAAACAATTTTTTTTTATTATTATTCTTTACAAGGAATATAGAAGAAAATAGACTAATACTAAGAGTGATAATAATACCGTCATTTAACATATTTTGTTTGTTATTTTAATCTATAATTTTTTAATATGAGGATAATTGATAACGTATATTTTGTACACATATTTATAGCTTTATTATATAGTGAATGTATTTTTTATATGAATTTTTTTTCACTCCTAAACATTTTTTAGTTTTAATAAATTAGATTTAATATATATATATATTTCCTCTAATTTTACATTTTTAGCTAATTTTACATTTTTAGCTAATTTGACATTTGCTCACTATTT